AACAGCGGTTTTTCATCAGCTCTCTCTCATTAGGAAACAATATGAAAACATTAGCTGCTACGCTAACAACCAGTGGCTACTTCGGGCCAATTAATCTACATAGAAAATATTTCCGGTTGTTTAGAAGCAAATTTCTGGCTGCAAAGTCAAGTAATTCTGATCTTTCATCCTTACCTGTGAAAGGTAATGCGAATGAATACAGTTTGTTTCGTAAAACGGTTGAAACAAGTCCACACAGCACAGGACTTAAGGAGCTCCGATCGCCCTGCTGCCACATAGAAGATGGCGGACGCTGTTACGTACGACTCAGCGCTCCATGAGGCGTCTACGTATATGATGTCTATGAGTTCATACCTGTACTGATGAGGAGCTTGTCTGAAAGTGTGGCAGGACGGGAGAGGCAGAGGGAGAGCGGGAAATATGTGGTCCAATAGGCTAACAAGGTAATTTAATTTTCGTACATACAAATTAGGGACATTTGGAGCACTTCATTTACAGTTGAATGTCTTTTGAAGCTGTTAGTTGAACCTGTTTAAACTCACCATTTGCACTGTAGTTACCCTTTTTCCAACATTTTCTTGAAAATTTGTTAGCTGACTGTTCAGAGTTGCAGCAGTTACAGTAAATTATGTCTTAATTTGCTTACATGTTTGCACTAAACTTTTAACATGGTTTTGAATCATTGACATTACTATTAAATGGCTTATTATCTGTGTAGCTGTTAGTTTGACTCTGTGATAATATTCCCCTGATTCTCCAAACTGGAATCACTCTGACTGCTGTCTGGTGCAGTGATAGGTACGCAAAACAAAAAAACTGTCAAGGTTCTAGCGTTAGTAGTTCGTACTTTGCTAGTCTACAGATAAATTAACTAAGAATAGGAGACCTCTGACCATTTGAAATTTTATATTTAGAAAGAGCTGTTGGGGCCATGTTTTGCACAGTGATGTAACACAAGTGAAAATGCGAAACGGAAACTGTTCTTATTCCTCTTGAAACTGCACTGTTGATGGTCATTTTTGGCTCACAAACGCCACTCACAAATATGAGTGATGCTACTCAAACTAACGCAGAATCACTTCACGGCATCTCCACCATCCGTAGTATCACAGAACACTGGTGCAGTGACCACTGTATTAAAGCAGAGCTGACAGCATGGTGAAGGCTCCGGGGTGCTGGCAGGCTGACTGACGGCTCTCTGATGGATGTGACAATATTGCTGAACCCTGGGAGCTTGTTAGAGCACAAACTTGCTGAGTGTTTGTGTCTGAGAGATCCTGGTTAAGAATCATTTTTGCTCTTCGTGGTGTGTTGTTTGCTGCACAACGTGTGTGTGTGTGTGTCCTTCTTTAGCAGGAAACACCAGCTTGGTTCTGTTTGTCTGTCGCCCACATTCGAGTGCCTCATTGTGTTCAGCAGGTTTTCTGCTCGCTAATCAGGTACAGAAGCCTCCTGCCGGGAAAATAAGAGTCTAGTCTGCCCCGGGAAAACAATTCAGCCATCATCCCACCATTATAGGCCATGGCCATGGTCCTAATTTATCTCCCAGTCTGCCACTTGTATTTTTTCCTCCCTTGTCCTGGAGGAGAATTTCGAGCAGAGCAAGCGCTGGCTCTTAATAGTCCTCCGTGCCTCTGACACAACAAACAAATGAGGACAGCAAATCTTTACTGCCAAGTAGATTTACTTTTATCTGTGGTATCACCTCGCTCCCCAACCACTCATAAGATTACAAGGAACAAGCTGCAATATTGGATCTGTTTTGTCAGCTCTGAATGCGCTCTCCAGCTGCGTTTTCATCGCAATAAATCTGTGAAGCCTTTTTCTGCTTGCTTAAATCCTTCGACAACGCTGCTGCTGCTCCTCTCGGAGAGGGGAAAAGTCATGAGCTGGAAATAAAGGATAAGGTTGGGATTTTCTGCTTGGTTAAATGCTTCAAAGAACTGATAAAGAAGAGGCTGGTGCTACGCATTCTTCTAAAAGCAAAGAATCAAATGAAGTGCAGAGCAGTAGCAGTTTTTGATATACGGGCAACATGGGCAGTTGCCCAGGGCGATACTGGTTTACAGGAGTACATCATTAAAATAGCTTTTTTATATTCGTCCTGAGCGGGTTTTGGATTGTTTAATGATTCGCATGCAGTCAGTGAAGATTCGGCGTGCCCCTTTCTTCAGTCGGTGCACCATGTTTGCTGCTGCACCAGGCTTCCTGACTGGGCTATGCAGCATTTTTCTTCATCTCACATCCGACATTATTTCCTAGATTTTAATTGCTTTTCAGGAATGCCTGACTGTTTGATGGTGTCAGTCAAACTGAGCCTATATGGGGTGGAGCACAAATGAACCCTTTAACATCCTCTCTGCCTTCAGCAAGAGCGCTTACAATGACACGTTGCACAGTTTGCAACTTAGAAATTTAGGGAAAATATGTCTTTGTAAACTGGAAGAATTTTCCTGGATTTATATCAGGATCAGGCACATAGAGGAGAAAATATGGTGCAAACATGAGCACAACATGTTTCGTCTGCACAGTGGCACTGGTATTGTGACATTTTAAAGCGTGAGCAGAAGAAAGCTCAGATAAATGTTCTAGGACAGGGAGTAGGTACTGTAGGTACTCTTGATTTCATAATAAAATTAGGTTCTCCTTCCAAAAAGACTTTATTTCACTTGGACCACCTCACAGTTGTGTTCATCATGCCAGCCACGGAAACTTTGTTCAGCGCTTTTCTTCTTTTTATTACTATAGCATCCTTGCTTCTGGCAATGTTGTTATGAATCCCTTTTCTATGTTGTGGTGAGAGTCTAATCATTTTAACTGTCTTTAAGTACATTTTCATCATGTAAATTTCCAGTTTGAATTCATTAAAATAGTTTTTAGAGGTTTCAGTATAATTGAACAGCAGAACGGCCACTTATACAAACAGTCCTGCTTTTGGACAGCAGGAATCAACTGGGATCTACATATAAAAACCCACACAAAATAACCTGTAACCTTGAAAAACTTTCAACCTTGTTTTGAGGAGAGAGATTTAACTATCGACATCGCAATGTGATGGCCTATTCTCCTTATATGTAAAGCTCTTAATGATTGTAATCCATCTTATCATTAAACACCTCATATTCTAGTTACATTGCTTTAGGCTAAGCCCACTGGAGAATAAACTGACCGGCTTTCTACGCTGCTGTCTTCATTCTCATTATTCTCCATTTCTGTTTTGCGCATAGTGCTGCCGTTAATTGTGTATTTCTACAGCTTTGGGGGTGTTTGTTTATTTTCCTTTCAGCTCCAAGTCGATCCTACACAGGTTCTGGTTCTGCTGTACAGCTATCCTGTTAAAAGAATGTCTATAATTTCACTGCATGCTCAAGAAAAGGACACTGCGTTAAAGTTAAGACCTAGTGCTAGCTTATTGTCACATGTAGAGTGCTTTTACCTGTTGTATTTATTCACACATTACCTGCAGTTGTTTTCATCTGTGTGGTTTTATTAATGTAGCCTTAAAATGCCACATTATTCCACCTTCACTGCAGTATCAGTGGAACTTGTTGTTGATTCTCAGTCATGCGGAATATGGTAGATATTAATTTGTTAGGTCAGTTTATTAGGTACACTAGATGAATTTTTTTTGAACACAAAGATCAAATTAGGCTGGTCAGATGGTTTTAGGAATCTACTGTAAACACTGAGAACGGTCAGAAAAACTGAAAATATCCAGGGAATGCATGTTGCTGTCAAATGAGATTAAGTAAGCTACTTTGCAATGATAAACATACAACAGCAACTCCCATAGCCACTTGTTACAACCGAGGTATGCAGACTATTATTCTTGAATACCATTCATCAAGACTTAGATCCTTGAAGCAGATGAGCTACAGCTGCAGAGAACCTTACTGGGTGTCACTTGTGTCTGCTAAAAACATTAAAATTAGGCTATAGTTCAAATCAAGTTCACCAGTATCGGGCAACAACAGATTACAAAAATGTTGTCTGGTCATGTGAATCTCGATTTCAGCTGCAGCATGAATCCAAATCATTCAGTGTCAAGATTAGGTGATAAGAAAAAAGTGCAGATATGTAACTGACAAAACTGTACCAACTGTGATATGTTCTTATGTCATATGGACCAAAATTTCTAAGGTATTTTAAGCTTAATTGAGGCTGCTCTGAAAGGAAAGGAAGGTTCAACCAGATACTAGTGAATTGTGTCTAATGAAGTTTACAACAGCTGAAGGCCCTTGGACTTTGCTTAGATTTTTAAAATTGTTTTATTACTCTTTCCAGGCAGAATCTTCAGTTCTAATCCACAGCTGTGCATTTGTACTCACAGTGACGAGACAAATTCTGGACAAGAAGGGCAGCAAAAACAAAAAAAAAAAAAAGCAGCTATTTTCCAAGAAAAACATCAAGGACTGGCTGATATTCTGCGGGATGGACACACAGGGACAGCAGAAGACTGGGGCAAAATGATTTTCTCTGATAAACCTTCCTTCTGATTATTTGAAGAAGACGTAAGCGTCTCCAGGAGACTGGTGTAGCTCCAAAAGGGGAACATCCAGATAAAATAAATGTGTGGGGTTGCTTCTCATCTAAGGGAATGAGCTTCTACTTAGTGTGCCTAAAATCACTGTGATAAATAGAGAGGAATCAAAACATCTTCCAGCAACTGAGCAGTTTCCTGTATCATGATAATGAGCACTGTCAAAGAGCAAAACTGGTAAAATGGCTCCAATGTCAAAAAGCCTGATTGTAGTATTCAGCAAATTATATACTTTTCTGCAGCTTATTCAGTCCGTTTATTCAGTAAAGTGATAAATGTTCTTAACATTGCTTTTGACTCCTAGCAGCATATAAATATGAGGTAAAAAGATAATGGGCATATTTGGGTGTAAAATTGATTATATTGTACTAGATTCTGATTTTAGATCAAAATCTACTCCAAGAAATATGCTACAACAAAACAAGAGGAAACCCCAAAATTCAAAAGCAGAAAACTGACAGTTCTTTCATGAGAATAAAAGGTAAATGTACAAAATATATAGAGACACTAATCAAAACTGAAGGAAAAGGAAAGTATGCTGAATAAAAACGAACAGATCAACAAGATCCAATTCAGCAAAGCAGATGAGGAAACAAGCAGCCAGTGTGAAGGAGACAGCCAAATAAGAAGCAGAATTACAACCACAGATCAGGACAAAATACAGCTGCTGGTTCTACTTTCAAAATCCAGTCAGTGCAAATAAGCAGTCACTGTTCCTATAATCCAAACAAAAAGATAATTGGTCAGTTTTTCTTGCTTAACATGCTCCTAAAGGTGGCTTTGCCCTTACTGTGTAGGAGGAGGCGAAGGGGCTTTCTGTGTGTGTCCCCTGCCTGGAAATGAAGCCATTTTAAAGGTCCATAATCTGTTTATGTTCCCATTGTCCCATTTTTGTCCGTTGGATCGATCCAAAGCAGCTTTTTCTGGGGCCTTATCATGGAAACCAGAGGGGGAGACCCAATCTAATTCTGCGCTCCAGCTATATTCCACAAAGCAATATCACCACGCTGCGATCATATCACATCCAAAGAGGAAGAGCAATATTTCTCCATCACTCCTCTGTTCTTTCTCCGCTCCAGTCCTCCACTAATGCCGGCATGTTCTGTCTCTCCCAAGGCTTCGCTCTCTTATTGGATGGAATAAAAGGACTTCAGTCAAGTGTTGACGTTCGGCTTCACCGCGAGGCCCGCGGCTCGTCTGAAAGCGTCCTGTGGGGGGGGGAGAGTTCCTCCACACCATCTGTCATATAATTTGATTAATTAGCCGTTAGTACCACTGTTGCCCCCCACAGTGGGACCGAGGGTCGGCACTCGTCCATCTCCTCATCCCTCCGTCTGTCACACGCAATTTCTTGGAAGTGTCTGATCAGATTTTGATGAAACTTCAACAAAGATATCTGTCTCTTCTCTGACAAGACAAATATTTAATATTTTTCAGTTAATTTAATCATCTTGCTTCCAGAATTGCCATGTTTGGGCCTTGAGGACGTTTAAATGAATGTACTCAATCCAACACATATTTTGGGGCACGCACATGTTGGCTCAGATGATGTCTCCATGTGACATCATAAATAGTTAATACCTGTAACCTGACAGGTGTTTCAATGCTTCCTCCCCATGGTTTGTCTGAGAACACCATTATGCATGTGATGTGTGATTTCCTTCACGAACCGTTTAGCTCCACGATCAGGCACCGTGACGTATATCCACCTGGAAATATCACAACCATTTTAGATTCATGGAAACCTACAACTATTCCCAAGATATTACCGAGTGGTGCTTTAGCCCTGCACCACCGTCTCGCCCCAGCATATATATATATTTTTTTTTTCAGTAGGGACAGTGCAGGTGGTCAGAGTTGGCGGGAAGATGGGTGCAGCTAACTACAGATCATCCTGGAAGAAAACCTCTGAAAACCTGCAAGACTCGACTTCTATCCAATTTGTGACAAGGCTTCAAATTAACATCCACAGATTTTCTTCATAATGTGACTGAGTTGCATTCAGGTGTGTATCTCACAATAAATGTATTCTTTGTCACGTTTGAAGTTGAGAAATTCTTTAAAAAGCGTTAAAGAAAGAAAAGCGAGTAAGACAGCCAGAACATTGCCTGTGTTAGAGACAAGTGATGACGTTTTTAAACACCAAGCTCGGGTATCGGTGTAGAATACAATGGCTGCACGAGACAAAAGCAGTGATGGGAGAGTCACTTTCTCTAATGCGAATTCTCTGATGAAGTCAGAAAAAATTGAATCGTAGAGTAGCAGTTTAAAGAAATCTGAAGCTTGAGTTAAATATTTCAGAGGGAATAGCAATGACCTTCTGGGATTTTCTTTGTCACATTTATTCCTTTTGCACTGAAATGTTTACTTCTCCTTTTTTATTATTTTTAAAGTTTTTTTTTTATTATTATTATTTGTTTAGTTCAAATCCTTGAAGGCAATGAGGGGTTTTTATTAAACATTTCAAGTATATTTTAATTTATTTTTCAGATAAAACAGGGCTGACAGAGAAACACAGAAGAGATGAAGAAACTTTATCTCTTTAGTACAAAATTTCAGTGTTTTAAATACAGGAGCAATAAAGTCGACAATATCCCTCAGATCCTGCAGTCATTGAGACACAAATTAAAAATATGTTATGCACCAGCTTCAGTGATCCTGGTAATTAGACCCAGCCAAATCCTCTCTGCAACGCATCACATGTCTGGTTCCAGATGGAGAAGCACAGGTTGCCACATTTCAATTCAAAAGCCAAATTTTCAATGAAATGTGGAAATTACCAAGATAATTTACGGATATTAAACACTTTCTCACCCGTGCAACCAGGTAGCTGTAGTTTGATTCACCAAGTACTGGATAAGGGCAAGCTGCAGCTTTTTACAGCGTTTATAAAGTCAGACGGCCCAGGAAACAGAAACGCTAAAGCACAATCAGTTGAAAAGCCTAAAGCTTTAATAGCTCAAAGAAACTGCATTTGTATTATTTTTCATTTTATTATTTGCCTCATCTGTACCACATACATTTTTTTTTTCTGATAGACTGGCTTTTCATTAACTCTGAGAACCTCAGTTGACTTTATTAAAAAATAAATAAAGACAACGTAACATAAGTTCATTGTACTCCAGTGACCTAAACAGGTCACTGGACCTAATGTTACACCTCTGGCATGTGGTGGAACGGGAGATTCTCATCAGCAGCCAAAGAAATCTGCATCACCTCCATGATTATGTCGGGTCAATATGGATCAATATCTCAGAGCAAATTTCCCACCACCTTTTGAACGTCTGCCATTAAGATGACTGCTCTCACGAGAAAAGACACAATGTACCTAAGGGGGTCGGTGAGTGTAGCGTCATTGGATTAAAGATTTAGTCTAAGTTTTTGCTGAAATGTAAAGAAAATATAAGCTTCCGATTTCTTTAAGCTGCTCTGTCCAGAGGATTGAGCATTTAAACGCAGCTGCTCGCTAAGTGACTCAGCTGCAGCCTGAAAGATTTGCCCCATGGTCCGTGTGGGCTGATGTGAGCCATGTTTGATTTGATGCTGTGCGACTGAAACGCTGGATGTCGGATTTGCTGGATGTCCCTGCTGGAGAAAACGGGCAGCTTTTGAAACCTCACCTGCTGAGGATCAGCAGGTTCATCATTTAGCCAAGGAGGCAGCGGGAGAGCACCGTCCCTCGCTTTTTGACCAGACACATAATTTCAGTTGATTGCAACATTCTTTTCTTGTTAATGTGTCTTTTATTTTGGCGGACAAACACTCATCCCACCTTCCTTCCCACAGGAGCTGGGTTGGCGCTCTCCATGCCAGTGGCTGTGAAAAACAGCACATTTTTCATTAACAGGATTACCGTCCAACAATAAAAATACAGACGAATGAGAGTGAGCGTTGTGTTACACAGGCTGCCAGTGAATTTAATCACTATCCATTCCCTTTTTTTTTTCCCCCCCCCCCCCCCTCTTTTCTCCCCCCCACACCACAAACCACACCCCCCCCC